CTTCCTGGGCTGGACTGGGGATCAGGAGCCCTTCCTGGGCTGGACTGGGGATCAGGAGCCCTTCCTGGGCTGGACTGGGGATCAGGAGCCCTTCCTGGGCTGGACTGGGGATCAGGAGCCCTTCCTGGGCTGGACTGGGGATCAGGAGCCCTTCCTGGGCTGGACTGGGGATCAGGAGCCCTTCCTGGGCTGGACTGGGGATCAGGAGCCCTTCCTGGGCTGGACTGGGGATCAGGAGCCCTTCCTGGGCTGGACTGGGGATCAGGAGCCCTTCCTGGGCTGGACTGGGGATTCCGCGGTCTCTCCTCCTCATTTTGGCACTGACCGCCCTCCATATTCTGCTCACCCAACGCCGTGATGCAGGGGGCGGAGCTCCTCTCCGCGCTCACACCGTCCACGGCTTGCTCCCTCGTGGTGGGCCCTGTCGCCGGCTCTCGCACCTGGTCTGACAGGTTGGGCTCAACTTCCGAGGCGATCCTCTGCTCAGTCACTTGGCTTCGCTCTGGCTCGCGGCAGGAAATGGCTCTCCATCATCGGTGGGCTCAGGCTGATGCTCCGTACCGCGGGGAGATGGTGGGCTGGGCTCTGGGTCTGAAGTGGATCCGGCGAGATCATCCATGGGGCCGATGGTGAGTGGCGACCCGTTTCTCGACAGAGTCCACTCCACGAAGGCGGCAAATTCCTCCCGAGGACCATCTTCGGACGACAGCGCTCTGCACTCGGCGTTCAGGAATCCATGGGGTAAACACAACGGAAAGAAAAACACTGAGGAAAAACCGGAAAACAAATGGAGGGGAGAACACGGAAGTTAAACTGTTTTTTGGTCGGTTATTCTGTCACGGGCAGGGTATTCAAGAGAGCAGGCAGGACAACGAAGATGACGAAATAAAGGATATTTAATGATTTGCAAGCAGGAGTTCCAGACAGGGTAGACATCAACACACAGGGTAACATTCACAATAACCGACAAACTCGAATACAAGAGACAGGAACAGATATAGGGCAGATAACGAGGGGCAGACAGGTGAGCACAATGAGGTAATTAACTCATAACGAGAACAGGAACAACCAAATAAGGACACAGAGGGAGAAACCACACTCAACAGTCCACAGGGGTGTGACACTGTGCTGTTTGGACTTGATTGGAATTGAGTAGATAATCCGAACAACCGGTGTCATGACATGATCAAAGCACATAACCTTACTGCAGATCGCCTGCTGATAAATGATGCAATGATGCAAAATCTGGGTCGTTCTTGCAATGTGCAATAAATCCAGAGTGGCGCCCTATCATGGCACACATTTTTCCACGCAATAGTTCTTGAAAACGTTGTAGATGTCGACTCCTCTGGTCGTGGTTTTCAAAGGAAGCAGTGTCAAAAACTCCTCTTTGATGAAAAAACATCAAAAACCATCCGAATGAAAACAGCCAACTGAGCTGTATCACTGAAGTCCACTGATTCATCGCACTGAAGTGAAAACCATGTACACCGTTCTATGTCCCGTTCTAATTGTCCCATTGCATCTGAAGAAAGCAAGGAAACTCTCCATGCCAGAGTGTTGGCACTGAGCTGGACATCAGCAATAGCAGACATAATTTCTGTCTTGCTTTTGTGGTCCTTGAACAAAGTTTCAGCCACCGCTGTCATTGCTTCCTTGACCATGGCGCCATCAGTGAATGGTTTCTTGTGTTTTGTCAAGATGCGCGCCACTTTAAATGGCGCCTCCGTAACAGCATTTCCTCTCTTTATCGGTTTGGTGAATAAAGATTGCTGTTTTTGCTGTGTTGCTTTCAGCTGTTTTTAACTTTTAGGTCCGTAGCCCACTACCCGCAGGAAAGTCTTGTGCAAAGTTCCCATGAACTTCAGTAAAATAGCGCTCCATATTGCACCTTTTACCCACAGCAACGCTAGCGCCACAAATTAGGCACACACATCTTTAATTTACATTCGTAAAGAAAAACTCGCTCTCCCATTCCTCATGAAAATAATATTTTTTTTCCTTTTATTTTTTTGACCGCTTTCCATACTCATTCTGATGCAAATAGTTTTTAAGCTAATACTGCCTTGTAGCCTAATAAGCGTGATTACGTACTTGATTGAAACGTCGACCTTGCATATATATTTTTTCTATTGTTGGTTGTTATTCTGTTATATTGTAATTACATCTGAATGTTTATACATGAATAATAATAACCTCATGGTCAATATGTCAAATAAATACTTTATTTGCATTGGAGGGGGTGGGACACCGGTCTATATTAGCTCACTCTGATTGGATGAAAAGTATTCTTAGCGAGCTACGTTCAATCAGGCAACGAGCTACTGGTAGCTCGCAAGCGACATGTTGGAGACCACTGCTCTAAGTCAATCCCTCTAGCACCACCAACTTTCCAAAGTTGCACTCATGTTTATGCTAATAACTTTTGAACTGTAAGGTCTAGAAGGAAAATTATTGTTTCCTCTGAATCCTTGCTCATGCCGAGTCAAATGGACACCAAAATTTAAAATTTCTTAAGGTCAATATTTTTCGCAATTATATATTAGGGATCCGCTGATAGACATGGCTTTTCAAACGCTCCCATGTGTATCGGTGTAAGCGCTCGGTGAAGAGTATGAAACGATGATCATTGTAGCCAATCACAGATATATCTGTTGAGCACGAGAACACAATGGCCAATCAGCGTTCAAAATGCTAGCGGGAAATGCTGATATTGTCACATTTTTTAAATTTTAGAATCGACTGGTACCAAAGACTAGAATACCCAAGTCGTGTCACTCATATAGTTTTGAATGGGGAAAAGGCAATGCTCAACATGGCCACTCTATCGAACGAAGCCCCGCCTTCTGAGTAATAGAGCCAATCGCCAAAGTCAGGCGTGTCACTGCAGCTGCCATTAGAAGTCCCGGTTGCTATAGAAACAGTCAGCTTTCTGAGACGTGCGCATGTGCACTGTCTTGTCTAGCCTGAAAAATAGGCTTTTTTAACACAATTTGAGCAAAAGAAACAACATTTATGAAACAGTTGTTGTAAGATTTCATTGGTGATTTCAAATATGAAATTTAATCTTAAGTTTGGCAAACAGTTTTGGAGAATTTGATGTTTCCCCATTCAAAGAGATAGGAGCTGCACTTGCATGCTCGAGAGGCGTTTCAAAGACGGCCGCCGACTGACATGACTTGCGTTAAGCCCGAGACACACTGCATGATTTTCGGCTGTCCCAGATTGGCATCGTGAAACAATCGTGGCGATTTCTGTGATTGTGGCTCCTAATCGGTGGTCTTATGTCGTACGGTGAGAGAGGTTCAAAGACGGCCGTTGTTACGGTCTTGCGACCAAAGATAGCCTACGATAATTTTCTGACAGTGTCAGAAATTCAGCATGATCATCGCACAGTGTGTTTGCTGCTACGACCCACGTCTACTGACCAGCCAATAAAAATGCAACATGAAATCAACGTGACATGGAGCTAAAACATAAAACTGTTTACCTCAAGCTCTTATCCCTTCCTCTTTCGCCGCTTCCAGTTTTTTGTCACCACACATAAAAACTACAACTGCCAAAGTGTGATTCGTCATGTTCTTTTTGTCGCATGCTGATGACGTTTTATTCTTCTATAGTAACGTGTGCTGTAGCCTACGAGACAATAGGTGCCATCACCGTACAGTCTGCATACACGTTGTACCCAAGTTTATCAGATCTATGTCGCACAGTGTGATTTGCAATGATCTTATAGGATTGCTAAAATCATGCAGTGTGTGGAAGGCTTTAAAGGGACTTTGCTGGTACCGACATCAGTACTTTTGACAACACTATCTATCTATCTATCCCAGATAGAACAGGTACGTCTGCAAGATGTCATTTAAAGATCGCTTCATCTGGAAAGCATCTGCTGTGTACAAACATCTGATAGACATCTTTAAGATACATACATTCTAAATCATAAACATCTTAAAGACATTTTCTAAACGTCTATTTGACATCTGATAGGAAACGTCCTATAGACGTATTGCAGATGAGCAAACACTCTAAAAAATACATCTTGCAAATGTAAATGCAGACGTCAAATAGACGTCTCTGTGATGAACATGCTATCAAGGATCTGTCTAGAGATAGATATTAATTTACACACACACACACACACACACACACACACACAGTTACACAATGTTGAGTCATGAGAAAGTTTCTCATTATTATGAGAAAAAATGTATTATTATTATTATGAGAAATATGATGAATCGTTATTATATTTCAGAATAATAAGTCATAATTTCTCATTACCGAATTATATTTTTCACTTAACTGTGGTGAAAACGGGCTTCCATAATATTATAACATGAAAAGACCAGATGTTGAGTAGGCGTGACGTTTATGATGAAAATGTCTGAATTCGCTCACTCATGTTCATTTACTTCTTCCTCATGGACTCAATTGTAAAGCGGGGTAATGCAGTCAAGAATGAAGAATTGTTTAAGTATTTAAAAAAAGACAAGATTAATGGAAAGAGTTTGAAGCTTTGAATTTTGTATTTATTTATGTATATATTTTTTCTTCTTCCCCCTTTTTTTATCTATAATTCAGTTGAATAGTTCATAGCTGAACCGTGTACGTTTTACACTCCAGACCAGTAGGTGGCGGACATGCACCTTTAACGTTGGTTTGTCAAGCCGCCAAAAAAACTCGAGAGATGAAGAATTTTAAAGCAATTTCATTTACAGCTTCTGTCTTTCGTTTGGAACTGAACTACAGGTGGCGGCAATGAGCTGCGGACACAAACAATCAGTGGTGACGAAGAAGACAGAGCTGACCGCCCGTTTGTTGTTCAGTACCATGAATGATAAACACAACGTTTACACTTTTGAGGATTATAAATGTTCACCCGATCCAGTATTCACAGTGGAGAGGGAATGTCTGGAGCCTTGTCCGGCGCCGATAGTGGTGGATAACGGCTCGTTCCAGTGCCGCGCGGGCTGGGCGTCTGGTGTTTCTCAGCTGGATGAGCCGCGGCTCGTGTTCAAGTCGGTAGCGGCGCGGAGCAGAGGAGCCGCTCGCAGCGATGCGCACGTGGGAAATGACATCCCTAACCTCGAGCCGCTGCGCTGGACTTTCAAGAGCGCGTTTGACCGCAACTTGGTGGTTAATTTTGACATACAGGAGCTCATGTTTGATTACGTCTTCATGCACCTCGGAATAAGCACCCAGGTAATGCACATCATTTGCAGAACATAGAAAATTTCGACAAAGTAAAAAAGTAATCTACAACATACTATGGCATGTTCTGTAAACTGACAGGTGCATGCTCATTACTCTAAGCGTTTTGTGCATACATCCCACACGTGTGTGTTTGTGTACTCTGATGAGGTGGATGAAGGATTTTCAGAGATAACCCGTTGGAGATCTTTTTTTTTTAAATTTTTTTGTCAAGTAGTTTGTCTTTTTGTATATCACAAACTGTGACGATACTTCTGAGCCAGGTCTTCAGTCTATTTCTCTGAAACTATTGCTGCTTCAGCATATGGAGGATCAAAGATGCAGAAATTAAAAATAAATAAATGTAATAATAGGAAAATAAATAAATAAATGACTTGATAAAACAAATACAATTCATTTGTAATAAAATGTAATCCTGAATTAATTTTTTTTATTAATTTTTTTCCCCTTTATGTATTATTTTCTGTATTTGGGTCAAAGATGAGACGTCACCATTTTGGTGTCCGCATCAAATTAAATGTACAAAAGTCATTTTAAATGCATAAAAAACATGTTGAATGCAAGTAAAGTGTCTACTTTAAAATTTAAAATAATATAGTCAAAATATGGGGGAAATAATGTCGTAAAGTGTAAAATTGTGTAATGGTCCGGACTTTGGTTTTACCGTTACATCTTTACATAAACATTATAAAATACCAAGTTTAAATATATTTGTTTTCTTGGCATTTTCTAATAAGTGTTGGCTGTGTTGTATTAAACGGACTAGGCCTATGTCTTATTGTATTTTTGAAGTACTTAAAGGGTTAGTTCACCCAAAAATGAAAATGAGTCCATAAATTACTCACCCTCAAGTTATCCTAGGTGTATCTATGTGGGAAGATTTGCATAACGCCACCCAAATGTTCACGCAAATAAAGAAGGTGTAACTTTTATTCTCGCTGCAGTATTGTTGCCGCTGCCGCCATGTCGTGAAAACACTGTGTGCTTCGTTGTGAAAGCGAAACTACTTTGTTTGGCCTTCCAAAAGAGGATATCCGCTTAGTCA